TCAGGAAACACCATCCTTGGAAGAAAAGTGTTTAAAGCCAAGTCGAGTCAAGAATCGGTCACCAAGTGTTGTCAGAAAGAACAGGGTGAAGTGGACGGTCGTCCTGTTGTTGTGGTCGACACTCCTGGTCTGTTTGACTCGACTTTGTCACGTGAAGAAGTTCATGAGGAGACGGTGAAATTTATGACCTGCCTGGCTCCAGGACCACACGTCTTCCTGTTGGTGTTACAGGTTGGTCGACTTACACCAGAGGAGAAGGAGACTCTGAAACTCATCCAGGAAGGATTTGGGAAGAATTCAGAAAAGTTCACCATCATTCTTTTTACAAGAGGAGATTCATTAAAACAAGACAACCTGTCCATTGAAGAATACATTAGAGATGAATGCAATGACTCCTTTAAGAAGCTGATCTCTGAGTGCGGAGAAAGATACCATGTCTTCAATAACTATGATGAAGAAAATCGGACACAAGTCAGTGAGCTGATAACAAAGATTGACACCATGGTGAAGGACAATGGGGGATCTTTTTATACCAATGAGATGCTGCAAGAGGCTGAAGCAGCGATTAAAAAAGAAGTGCAGAGGATCTTAAAAGAGAAGGAAGAAGAGATGAAGAGACAGATTGAGGACCTGGAAAGAAAACATGAGGAAGAAAAACAAGCCATGAAATTAAAAATGAAAGAACAGAGTGCTAAAATAAACCTGGAGATTCAACAGAAAAACAAAAAACTCGAGGAAATGGAGGAAAAACTGGAGAATGAGCAAAGCGAGAAGAAGAAAGCACAAGAAAAAAGAGAAAAAGAAGAAACCAAATGGAAACTGGAGAAAAGTGAATGGGAGGAAAAACTTTCTGCATTAGAGAAATCAAAGTCTGAATCAGAACAGGAGCTACAGCAGCGTAGAGAGGCGATGATAATGGAACATACGGTCCGGGAGAAGGATCGGGTAGACTGGTTGGAAAAACTAATACAGGAAGAACAAAAGAGAAAACAAAATGAGCAAAGACTTAGAGATGAATATGAGAATGTAAAAAAAGAGTGTGAAATGAAAAGAAAAGAGGATGAAACTAGAAAAGAAAATGAGGCAAAAGAACGTAAGGAATTAAAAGACAGCTATAAGAAAAAGCTGGACAATCTGAAGATGAAGTATGAGGAAGAAGCCAGAAAGCAAGCAGAGGAGTTCAACGAATTCAAAGAGAAATACACCAAAGACTTTGCAGCTCAGAAGGAAGAGCATGAGAAACAAATGAAAGACAAAGATGAGAAGTATGACCTGTTAAAGGCCCTAAAAGCCCACTATGAAAAAGAAAGCAGAGAAAAACATTGTGCGCAAATCAACGACTTTGTTAAATGTGTGACCAAAAACAGGGAAAATGTCCCAAAAATAAACGACTTGTTGACAAGACAACAGAACCAAATAAAACTTGCAAACAATCAGGAAGAAAAAGAAAACCTGCAGAAAATTCATGACACCGAAATAAGTAACATGATAGAGAAACTTCTGAATGAAGTTGAGACAAAATCTTCTTGCAGCATATTGTGAGATGAACCTAAAGCATTACAGAAGACAGACACGCAGGACCAATAGAATATATATGCAAGGAGTATTTGAATGACATTGATAAATAGAAATGAATAGTGGTTGTTTGAGACAGCATCAAAATGACAAATTTACAGGGAAAAAGTGGTCCTAATACACTGTGCTGAGGTCAAAACTGATTGATTACTTTAATAATCTTGTGGATTGTGTCCCGCTGTACGACAAATTTCATATTAATAGCTTAAAGATATAGGCATTTTATTTTCTGTTTAAAACATCCACAACAAAAGAAACAAATATAAAAACATTTTCATCCAGATCAATGGGTTGTTTTCTTTTGAATGGGTCTGGTTCATGATACCGTCTCTTTAAAGCCCGGATGCTTAATTTGCTGATCACAAGTATTTCTTTGTTGCTAAATCCAATTTAGAAGTATAATTTAATTAGGTCATCTCATTTTGGCGTAGTGCACAGTAAACCTCATGTGCTGAGTGATGAATATCCTTGACCAAAAATTGCATTTTCCAACTTATTCCTGGCAAATTCGCCCTTTTTCCTTACAGATTCTCCCATATTTTCTTCTACATTTGTCACTTTAATGTTCGAAATTTGAAGTTATTTCTCAGAATATTATATTATATTGGTCCTGTGGTTGCCACACCTCCTTCTCGTCCACGCCTAGCATGGCTGGCTTTTCCACAGTCATCTCCTGAACATCACCGGCCATGTTCCAGGCCGCTGGCTAGACGTCATCATCGTCGTGGCCGGCTTCCGGACCAGCTCTGTCGCCTGCGCCACTGCCACTTTTCATGTGGTCGTGCCCCCTGACTTAATCTGTAGACTGTTGTGCCGCCACCCGCTGGGTCGGCCTCCTGAACTGTTTTTGAACTGCTCCAGTTTTTTTGTGGCTGTTTTGTTTTCAAACTCTTTGGATGTGTGAGTTCCTGTTTTATTTTGTAGGTCTGTGTCTCTCATCAGTGTTTCTAGTTTCGCTTCCCCTTGTCTTGTTATGTCTAATTTATCCGAGCCGTGTCTCCCCTCTGTTTCCCATTCCCTGATTGCCCTGTGTGTATTTAAGCCCTGTGTTTTCTTGTGTGCGTGGCTGGTTCGTCTGCGTATCTCCCTCTGTCATCCTGTGTACTTCCCCTGTGTTGTTTCCCTGCATCATCCAGTAAATTCTCCCTGCACTGTTCTCCCTGGAAGTTGCCTTCTCTCGTGTTCGGGTTTGTTGTTTAGGTTTTAGTTTTCCCAGTATAGTTTATTTCTAAGTTCTGTTTTTCACCACTCTCACCTTTTGTTTGTTATTCACGTGTGTTCAGTCTCAATAAAGCCCTCTCACTTCACTGCATATCCACATCTTGGGTCCTTTGTTAAATTCTACATCATCTGCTTTCTTCCCTCCCCATCCTCAGCTGCCTCCCTATTCCCGCTCTACCACACCCACCCACACACGCAGGGCTTGGGGTGCAGGTATGTCACCAGGGTGCAGGGGAGGC